CCATGGACTATGTTGTTGTTAGGTGCTGTCAAGTCAGCTCTGACTCACAGCAGCCCTATAGACAACAGAACAAAACAGTGCCCAGTCCTGTGCCAGCCTCACAACCCTTGCTATACCTGAGCCCATCATGGCAGCCACTGTGTCTATCCATCTCATTGAGGACCTTCTCCTCTTTCGTTGACCCTCCATCCTACCAAGCTTGACATCCTTCTCCAGGGAATGGTCTCTTCTGACAACATGACCAAAATATGTCAGATGAAGTTCTGGCCATTCTTGCTTCCAAGGAGCATTCTGGCTGCACTTCCTCCAGGACAGATCTGTTAGTTCTTCTGGCAGTCCATGGTACTTTCCGTATTCCTCGCCAACACCACAACTCAAAAGCATCAACTCTTTGATCTTACTCATTGTCCAGCTTTCACGTGCATATGAGGCAATTGAAAATACCAGGGCTTGGGTTAGGCGCACCTTAGTCTTCAAAGAGACATCTTTGCTCTTCAGCACTTTACGGAGTGTAAACAGAATTTGTATATGCACCAGGAAATCAAAAAGTTCATGTGACTCGCTTTATTGTGATGCTGCTTTATTGCAGCGGTCTAGGGCCGAACCCACCATATCTCCGAGGTATGCCTGCATTTCCTTAGGTCAGCCCTGAAAGTGAGAATGCAAGAGGGCAGATATACAAAATACGCACTATGTTACCTCTCATATATGTATATATGTATGTACATATATGTAATTATGTACATCTGCTGCTTTCAAGTCCACTCCAACTCATACTGTGTGTCACAGACAGAGCTGCTCCCTAGGGTTTGTGTGGCTGTAATTGTTGTGTGGAAGCAGATCCGCAGGCCTTCTGTAGCACTACTGGGTGGGTTTGAACTGTCAACCTTTAGGTCAGTTGTCGAGTGCAAACTGTGCCACCTAGGGACCTTACATTCATAGAGGAGGTATATAAAATGGAAAAACGTACATTTCTGTATATAAGTACTTGAATGTAAGCCGAAGCATTATACACATGGGGAAGAAGTTTAAATACAGCAGAAAAGTCCAAAGGTAAGCTTTTCTCCTCTGATGTCTTCCTCCAAAAGCATCCCTCGGCAACAGTTTCTTATATTTCCTTCCAGAGAATGGTTTGAATGAATGTCTTTAATGTGCTATTAAAGATTTGTGTAAATCGGATCATGTAACATAAGTCATTCTGTATCTTGCCCTTCACCCTCCTTATCTTTTTTTTTTTCCCCTTTCATGTGAGATCCACTTCCAAATGGATCTACTCTTTAAGGACTGCAGTGCATCTCACAGGTCATGGCTGGTGTGTCACGATCTATGTAAGCAGTCCCTCCGGCTGGACAGAGAGGCGTTTCCAGTCTGTGCTCTCATGAACAATTCTGTATGGACATGCTGTTGGCATCTTTGTACGTTTTTACAAAATACACTCACGAGTTGGATTATGAACTGGCTCCGAGGAAAACACCCACGTGCCTTTTAAGTTTCAGTAGATGTTGCCATGTAGGTGGGGAGATGTATACCCTCCAAAGAGTGTGTGTAATTCCACCCTCACCCCCACTGTGTAATATTTAAAAAGTTTTGCCCATTTAGGTTGTTTGGATTTTGTGTTTCTTGGAATAAACTTGAGTATGTTTGTACAAATGTTTATTGGCCCTTTGTACAAATTTTATATTTTTGTCTACATGGTGAGACTACCCTTCTGAAGGGCTGTATCAACACACCCCTCTTTCTTTGACTCACTTTACCAGCGTCCTTCTTCCAAACCTAAAAATTTATTCCCTTTCATTCCATCCTCCACAAGCTTCCAGAATTATCTTTCTTACAAGGAAATCTGTTCACGTTGGGCTGCCACTCAAAACACATCAGTGACTTCACTCCCACCCCCACAGCCTACAGGATAAAGAGCCCAAACTCTTTGGTTTAGTTTGGAAAGCCCTTTAAGAGCTGGTTTCCACTTGTCTCGCCAGTCCTTATTAATTGAGCATTTGCTATGTGCACATGCCTTGTGGATGGGCGCAGGGGGTGCAGAGGGAGACGCAGTAAGGATGTGTCTGCTTTCTGTAGCTGCCATTCCACAGCATTATTCCCTAGCTCCCCCCCCATTATCGTTCCCTAAGGAGAAAAATGAAATTATTTAAAAATTTAACTTAATTAATTTAATCATTTTCTATCTAATTGCCATTCAGGTTATCACTAATGATAGCAATTAAATACTTATGAATAAGATTTTGTCCAGTAGGGTTGGAGGACCACAAACCATTGTGGTATCTAAGACTTGCTGAAAGTGAAGGGGACTTGAAGCACTTACTGATGAAGATCAAACAGTATACCCTTCAGTACAGATTACACCTTAACATACAGAAAACAAAAATCATCACAACTGGACCAATAAGCAACGTCATGATAAATGCAGAAAATATCGAAGTTGTCTAGGATTTCGTTTCACTTGGATCCACAAT